TCCAGCATAACAAGCAGCCATTCTACGCAGCCTTTGGGAATAGAACTAATGTGAGTTAATGGATGTTTGAAGATGTCAGGACATTAAAGCGCTCGCTTTCAAATGTCAGTGAGCTGTGTTTTCCAGAAGCCAGTGTTGTCATGATGTATCGTTCGATCAACTTGACAATTAACAGACATAAACATATGAAATCAGTGCAGGGCTGAACCTGAGCTGAGGTCACTGGTGGGAGTCAGACATGCTCCCATGTGACTTTGTCTGTGGAAGGGACCTCATGCCAGGCACAGCATCTCATCTTCAGCTGCATAAATACAAACACCCAGATGAAGCAGCGGGCCAGCCGTCAGCCGTCTGTCTCTACCACTTGCCAAAATACATAAAACAAAAAAACCACACACAAACACACAGAGTCTTGCTCCTGCCCACAAAACATTCAGTCAAGAAATATAACCATTACGCACATTAGGTGGAACACGAACAGGAAAACTGTGGTTAATGTGAATAATTCACTTATGTCATTTTGTACCAGTGCGTATTTTATCTGCATGCCTCTTCAAATAACATTATCGACTGCTGTCATTTCCAATGGCTTTTAAAAGCCCTGAGTTTCTGTATTTTTAATATACTCCCATTAAAGGGTTGTTGTGGTTTTCTCTCTCTCTTTTACATGTAAATTAGGTTTATTCAGGTTTTATCTAAGGAGAATATAGAATTATGTGGGTTTTTGTTGCTAAACAACAGAAATGTAAAAGCATTAACTTCAGTTTAAGTCCTGTTCCTTTTACATTTAGATCACATACTGAACACTAAACATAATGTCTCCTCTCAGGATGTGTTTGCCTATAAGGAGGTGGGAGTTCCTGTGTGTAGGATCTTCACAGTTAACCCTAAGGGAGAGTTGATCCAGGAGCAGACCAAGGGCAACAAGTCTTCGTGAGTACAAACATTTATCATTACTCTCTCACTGTATTCTGTTTCATTCCAATGCATTTGATATAACTAATTTCCTTCATTTAGTACGTATAAAGAACGTGTGGAAAAAAGAAATACAATAGACACATTCTTAAAAGAAGAGAAAATCAAAAGGAATTCCAAATGATCTTACCCTTACAGAACTATTACATATTTAGGCCTCGGTGAGGAACATGTCAGTGTGTAACTCTTAGTGATTTCTGTTCTCTCTTGCTGTGTCTCCACTTCGGTCCTTCATTCTGTCTTCACTTCTCCTCCACAGCTACAGCAGGCTGAGCGAGCTGGTGGAGCACGTGTTCCCTCTGCTGAGCAAAGAGCAGAACGAGGCCTTTGTCATGCCAGAGTACAGCTCTTTCTGTTACTGGAGACAGCCCATACCAGACATCGACCCGGATGAACTGCTCTGATCCAGCACATGTGGATACCGAGGTATACGTATACATGACTTTGCACTTAAACGCATCTCCAGGAAAACACGTGGACTGGAACCTCGACTTCTCTCCATAGTTCTCAGACACGCAACTGTACAGTGAGTGAGTCACAGGAGCAGAGCTGTGAACATAAACTCAAAAAAAGCTGGTGAACTTTAATTACCCTTCAGAGATAAGTGGAAGTTAAATTCAGAACAACTTCTGTTTAATTATCACTGAACATATCTCATCCCTGGGAGACAAGAGTCTAATTGCAAACTAAATTATTATTATTATTATTTCCTCTTGCCTGTGAAGGCAGCCTAACCCGGCAAGCACTCTTTAGTCCCCATCGCTGTACAGGGATACAGATCTTAGATAAATCTCTCTCCTTTCTAACTTCTAGCAGAGAGGATGATCTGCTTTTCAGGGCAGCAGCAGCCCCACATGAGGCATCAGCCTTTAGCACTTGAGTCTGAGCTGCACGGAAGGAAAAACGTTTTCTCATGTTTCCCATTGTCTGAACTCCCTGAGGAATCGAAGTGAATCATTCGAAACATTAAAAGACGTACTGTTAGTTAAAACAGGAAAGAAAATTATCACAGGACACAAGTCATGTGTTGGTAATGTTTTTGCTTTGGGTCCTGTCTCCACACAAGGTTCAGCCTTTGTTTGGAGGATTTATTTTCAGCTTTCTGAAAAGAAATTGAAGTAAAATAGCGAAATCATCCGGTAAATAACAGAGAACAACAACTCTGAACCATTGAAACTCTGTAGAAACAGTGGAACCACCACAGGTGTTCAGTTTTGTTCCTCACACCCTCAACCCTGGACAGACTGGAGTCTTCAGCCCACTGCTGAGGTCTGAAGACCACTTTCCCCTGGAGAGGTTTCAACCTTCGACGTGTTGATATTCCACATCGTAACTGGGATTTACTTTTGCCAACAAGTATGTGAAGAAGTGCTGTTAAAGAAAAGAAGAGAAAATGAAGCAGCTTCATGATTTATTGTCTTGCTGTTATTTTAATGTTCTGTTTATTCAAGCTCTGGCGAATCAGTATGTTTTCTTAACGATGCAGTCATTATTTATGATAATTGATATGTTTAAGTTATTGATTTCTATCGTGATGCCTTTTTGTTGGTCTGAAGAAGGCTTCTCAAATGCAATGTGGAAATATTTCAAATTGTATTTTGTATGTTTGCTCACAGGTTAACATGCACTTAACAGTATCTGCCACGCCTTGCACGAACTTTCTTATTATTTTGTCTTGTATCCTATATTCACAATGATTCCTTGATTTACAGAGAAACTTTCATGTATTTCACACACACATTCCTCAGCAAACCTCAGAATCCGCAGCTTTTGTTTGAGAACATGTGAGTACATGTAAAACTTGAGTTGGAACACGAGGAGACGTAAGAAGAGCTTCAAATGAAGGGTTTTCGTTTGCGACGTTGCCTGTAGGATGACGTGATGACGCAAGTGTGTGTGTGTGAGTGTGTGTGCGTGCGTGTATGTGTGTGCACCTAAGTCACTGAGTGCTGCTGCTGCCGGGGTTGATGGTATCACCCTTTTGTTCCCTTAGTGGTTTCACCGAGACGTATCCAACACACTTAGTCTAAGCTTCACCCAGGGAGGGACACGGATTCTCAACTCAGCCTACGTCTCACCCACGTCCGCTTCTCGTCTTCACAGACGACAGTATGCAATTAACGCAGGATGAGGAGTTGGAGTTTTACCTCTTTGTTGTTCGAACACCACAAACAAATCCGCCGCTCTGAATTATGCTGGTGTGAGTAATTAACGACGGGTGGTTAGTATTTGTTGGTCGCAGGGCAAAATGTAGGAACTGGAGAAGAAAATAGTTGTGGTGCAGAACAGACATGAAAGGAGTATCACAGCCAACGTGTGTGTACGTGCGTGCGTGTGTGCGTGTGTGTGTGTGTGTGTGTAAGTAAAAAGACTAATGCTGTGCCTCTGGTCATCAGAGGAAGAGCCATTGGGTCGTGTTTGGAGATAAACAGGAAATACTTGACTGTGCACAGGAAGCTTTTTGAAGTATTCACTGTTGTTGTGTGTGTGGATGTTTTGGGGAAACAGTTGTGGGCAGATGTGCCGCCCCGCTGACATGGATCTGACCAGTGTGACACTCTGATGATGACATGTGCTGAGGAGGAGTTAGGGTAAAGCAGCAGGAGCGAAGGGCAAAAAAAAAAAAAAAAGCACAATCATTTAGATATTAGTCGTCATAATCTGGCTGAAGTGTTCCTGCGTTCACTCTGTATCACCGATGTTTGAGTGTGTTTTTGATTTGACGTCTGCTTGTTCTCCATGAAGTTTGGTGAAGTCAGATAAATATTATAAGTAACTAAATGAATTCCATTCTTTCTATGAAAGTAAAGCATCTTGTGTGGAAGAATCACACTTCATCCTCTATGATCCTGGGACACGTGGTAAATAATATAAATCTCACTGCTCCACAGCTGTGGAAAAACGTTCCAGTATATTTACTGATCGTCACGTTCTTCTGTCTCCGATGCCTTTTTTCTTTTATCGTTTCTTTTAAAGTGTTGTGCAACAGTTTGCTTCGTTCTGTTCGGGGGTTAACGCTCGTTATTTTAACGTGTCTGACCAACAGATACCTTAAGTGTATATGCTGTGTTTGATTTGTATAGAGATGTGGTTCAAAATATGTTTCAAAAAAGAGAGAATCCCTTGTAAGAAGAAAAAGTAATACAGGCCTATGGAAGCTAACAAAGTGTGGCTTGTGGTCATATTTGTATTAAATAAAGTTTCTAACTGAATAACTGTTTCTGTGCTGCACGTTTTCTTTTCTCCGCTCTCTAAAAACTTGATGGAAGGGGAGGACAGGGACCGAGAGAGATCCAGGAATCACTTTCTTTAACGTAGGGTGATTTTGACATTTTCATGAATTTCACAGAGAATAATTTACGGATGTTGATGGGGGAAAAAAAAAAATCTGGCATATCTAAGGTGTGTGCAGTTTGATAGAACTCAACTGCTGAACCTTCCTTGCTCTACTCGCTGCTATTCTAGTTTTTTTAAGAATAAAAACATGAGTTTATTGCAGGTTGATTCCCTGGGGTCGTTTGTTTTATGGAACAATAAAACTATGAAACAAAACCATTAATTCAGTGGACTGTTGTCTGCGAGGGGTTTTTCTCTTGTTTATAAATGTTGGCATGAGGCTGAAATGACGGTTAAACCCACCTCTGGCTTTTACAAGTTTGCTGCTGGGGAACTTTCTAAATCTCATGAGTGAGGAGCGGGGAAATTTGTTTTTCATCCACACCCACTTTACGTAATGACCCAAATGGGTTTTTTCCTCTGTGCAGCTTCTGAAACCAGGTTTGTAACATAAAAAAAGAGCTTGTGTTGCTGAATCCCTTGGTTTTTTTACACATCAATCTCCTTAAGTGTGTTCATTAGTCATTTCTATTCTTTTATAGTGTGGATTACACAGGGAGCTCATGACCTCATGCTAAGCTGTGATTTATTAAGGTTTATTGCCTAAGCAGTGATATCATGTCCCAATGATATGTTGACCGCACTGAAAACTGAGTCTGAGATGGTTTTGTTACAATAGAAATTTCATTTTACGAATTTTAATGTTAATTTATAAAGACTTTTACACAAGACATTCACATAGCTACAAAAAAACAAGTTGATAATCAAATATATTAGGAACAAATCCTACTTCTCAAATTCAGGTATTTAAAGGCAAATGGTTTACAAACGTAATGACTTGTTTAACTGGATTTATAATCTTCACACTGTGGTAAAATAGCTGCATCACAGCAAGTCAGTGAGAAATGATCTTAGTCAACATTTCCCCCAGTCCAACTCTCAGGGAACAAACTAGTCCTCGCTCTGTGTCCATGAGCTCCAGCTATCTTTGGGCCTGTTGTGAGTACAGGAAGAGGGCGCTGTAGGAGGAGAGGATCTCCCTGGCCTCAGTGGTGGCCAGCTGACCTCCAGTCCTGACCAGACCCACACGGTCTCCTTTCCTCAGGGGCAGGATGAGACTGAAGGACACCGAGCCGCCGCAGCTGCAGGTGCCGTCGGCTGAGCCCCGGTGTTGACCTGCTGCAGGCGCTGCTGAGCTCCGCAGCTTCTGAACGCTGCGGTTTGACACAGACAGGACGGCTTCTACGTGGTCGCCCTGCTTTGCTGTCAGCAGGCCTGAGATCAGGTATCGACCGTCCAGTGGTACGGTGAAGATCCCTGTGGAAGGAAGAAAGGGAAAGAGGGTTGAGTTAATTATCTTCAAACACTGGAGTTGTCAGACAAACATGATAAAACTGAATTCAGAGGAATGAGAATGAGATGTTAAGAGAATGGCTCCTTCACAGTTGTAGTGTAGATGAAGCCTGAACCACAAAGTTTGTTGCCTTGTCTGTTTGTAATTTCAATTATGAGTTACACATTTTTTAAAGCATCAATTTTAGAAGTGGTTGCAAATTTCTATGTTGGATTCCCTGCATCCAAAAGAGACTGAGCAACATTAAAAAATATTTGAAGCAGTGTCTGGCCACAGATGTATTTTTCAGGTGAAGCATAATTACAGTTCAAGTCATAAAAGTAAAGTTGTGGGGCCATAAAAACCAAAACAACGAGCTGAGAGAGGCTAAAATGACCCATGGGGCTCCGGGGAGGGGGGGGGGGATTCAACAGTACGAGTAACCACCTCCACGGTACACGAGGTATTTGACTCAAGAAACATTGTTTAGTGCAGCTTTGAACTCCACCTCGGCTTAAATGAAGAAATTGATTTAATGAAAATTGGATTTGTTTAGGTTTAACTGAAGTTCATCTGAAGAACAAGGTGCAGAGCAAACGAACATGCAGAAGTTAAAACTGGACTGTTTGTCCGTGTGTGTGTGTGTGTTTGTCTACCTGTGAGGGGGTTGTAGTGTCTACCATCATTGACCAGAACCCTGTTAAAACGAATGATGCCAAAATCTCCAGAGAACGGCTGCTGGGTGAGGCCGGCGGAGAAGGAGAAGGGATCTGCGAAGGCGCTGTTGTCGAGTGAGACTGAAAACAAGAAACATGCAGGTCAGTGTCTCACTCAAGTCATTTAACAAAATATTACCCATTCTATAAACCATTGATTTTCTGTTTGTATCTTTATCCAGTGTCAGAAGCTTTGAGAGCCAGAGAGATAGTTTCCAGATGGATCTTTACCTGGAGATACAATTGGAGTTTGATGCAGTGGATTCCACGGCACCTTCGCTGCAACAGGAACTACACAAAAGAAGACGGTGTTAATTTCTTCTGTCGAGGCAGTGAGGTGACACCTTTATATTTAGAGCTGCTTCATTCATGTCTCTGACTGCGTGTAAATTAATACACAGGATGGATTTAATAGATTCAGTGTTTGTGGCAGAAAAGAGAAAAAAAGAATCAGGATCCTTGTTTCAGTGAATAAAACCATGATCCTTTTCAATAACACAACTTCCTTCATCATCATCAAGTGTAACATTTGCCCCGTGGCAGTGGGAGACGCCTCTCTGGTGAGTGACGGCAGACGAGCTGAAGCCCTTCACAGTCCGCCCACACCTCCTTAAACTAAACACATCCACTTTCACTCTAAAGCTGCAAATTATTCTCAACTTTTCCAGTTTTTCTTTCTTGTTTTTTTTACACTGATGTGGAAGAAAGCCGAAGCCTTGGGTTGCATGCGATGTAACTTGATAATGAGCTGCTGCAGTACCTTGACGGCTGGTGGAGTGAGGATTGAAAGACGCCGGCTGCACAGGAGGATAACCTGCGAGAGAAATTAGAATCATGGTTTAAAATCAGGGGCAGTTGTTTGGTTTTCCATGTGAATTTTCCTAAAGAATGAATGAACGAAGACACAGTAGGTTATAATAAACTGCATTAAAATGTCTTCTGGAATCAGGTTGATTTTTATTTTCAGCAGACTCAGGTGTTCACACTTTCCTTTGAGCCTTGAAATGGATTCAAACCTGCATGTTTGCTGTTAGAGTTCCAGTTAGCAGCTGAAAACCACAGCACATTCTCCACTAGATCCAGATTAGTATTCGTTTTCCCACAAAATATCAGTTTTAATATTTTTCTTTAAGATTCACATGTAATTGAAAGATGATGTGAGAACATGCATCTGCATTTTAAAGGATAATTAAAACCACATTTCATGACTCTAAACTAAAGCCAGAAGATTTTCCTGAATTACATCTCGGACTAAGAGGACCATACACGGCTTCCTGTCCCACACTCAGTGGACAGTACCAGCTGATGTCTCTGACACTCTGCTGCCAAACCATGCCCATGTGAAAACTGTAACAAAGCATATTTTGTTGTTTGTTGTTTTCCCTAATCATCCCGCAGAACAAGTCAAGATAATTCAATCCAGAGCTAAATCTGCGACTCTCTATTGTCTCATCCTTCCAATTGGAGTTGGCCGTGGTTAAAAGGCCTTTTAGCAAAGAATTCTTATGTGTGCATGTCAGATATACTCTAAATACACAGATAGTTAATCCCTCGTTATGGTTTCCATGTGTGAAAAGGAACAAAACAGAAACAGGTTCCTGACGAGTTCAGATGACAACATGAGAAGTGACTATGAACATGTGGCAGCGCTGGCGCGCTCTAATACAACGTTAGACGTGTCACAAAAAGAGAGAGCACCGTAAAATCTTCTTCTTGTCACTGCAGCGACAGATGACAGATGTTCAACATTCATTCATACACACGAGGAATGAATGAAATAGTCACTGAGGGATTTTAACAGGACAAATACACGAGTGAGAAAAGATCAGCAGCAGTAATTACCTCCACAGCAGAGGTTTGTCTGTCTGTCAGCAGGATCACGCAAAAAAAACCTATTGGTTGTATTGACATTACAATGAAATTCGTTACTGTGTTATTAATTGGACTCAATCTCAATTATGTACCAACAAAAATGGCTCAAGGGTTAGGGTATTATAATGTTTTTGAATATAATGTGTGTTTAATGATAATGTTCATTATGGTTGCGATGGGAAACAAATCTCTCTTGACTTGATAAGTATAAAACTGAAATGTGAAAATGCTGCGGGCCAGTAATTCACTGTTTTGACCATGAGTAGGATTCATGTGACAATCAAAACAGATGTATTTCAGTATAATGTTGGTATTCGCACTGTAATTTGTAAGCTATAATTTCAAACATTGCCAAATCTGGTTTTGTGCCATGAATCCACTGAGTGAAAAATCCAACGAGACTTGATGCAGATTTTTGAGTTTTCTCACAGATTAATCTCACCAGGTGTTTGGAGCTGCAGAGTGGATTCAGACTAGAAAGCTAAAGGTCACTGTGAACGTTAGCGCTGCTCACCTGGAGCTCCAGCGAATCCTTTGACAGGCACGTCAGACGACTGCTCTGAGCCCCTCCGCACAGTCACCCTGCGCATGTACCCGGGTGGTCCCGCCTCGCCCGTCTCCACAACGGGCCGGACGGGAACCAGGGGCACATTGTGGTGACCCGGCTGCTGGGGGCTGGACGGCTGGTTTGGAGCGCTGATCCTGATCGTGTGCGTGTTGGGCTGCCTGGGGTTGGACGGTGGCGGCGGGATGATTATAGGGATCTGGATTTGTTTTATTCTGGTTCTGGTCTGAGTTGTGTCTGGCAGAGAAGCGGGCCTCTCCGGTCTTAAGGTCATTCCTAGAAAAGTGAAGAAGAAAAAAAGAAACAGTGGCGAGATTATAAATATATCGATTTATGATTCAGTTTCAAACCATATGATCATCAAACAGAAAAAAGCTTTGGGGCGACCTCTCGCAACCCAAATGAAAGTTATGGAAAATGTTGTAACTGTTATCGCACAAGCCTCCAGTAAACTTTTTGTTTGTACAACTCCCACTTCCTCTCACATAGTCAGACCGCATCCCTCCACACTCTTGTGAATTCTCCTTAACGACGTTCATTCTGATAACGGGCCAAATAAGACCTGGCTTACTCTGCACAGTTTTTCTTTTTTATTTGAGCTGGTACCATTATTACCCTTCATAAAAGCTGAGCAGGCGGTGTGGGTGTGAGTTTTCGTCAACGAGAACCATCTGAACGGAAACCAGCTGGCTGCCTGCCCAGACCCCCTGAGGGCACAGACACGACTGGAGCCTTAGGTCAGCGTAGAGGCGCTGAGAGAGGGTCCCGCAGACAAATCAAAATCTGTTTGACAACCAGGTGTCGGACAGATTTGTGTCACGCTGTACTTAAGATTCAGTGAAGGGTTTAAATGGCTCGTGTGTTGCTCTGGGCAGAGCCACTACAACCTTGTGGGTGAGGTTGGGCATAAATGGAGAGACTGTATAAAAGGATTATAGAGACGCCGTTCAGCCAGAGACACTCACATTAAGGAAATTGCCACTTATTGCGAATGGTTATACAAGATTTGTCTGAAAAGGCTTTGGGGAAACTCTCGGAGAAAACAAACAAAAATTAAGGTGCTGCAGGGAAACAAGCATGGTGACTGTTATATAAAGAATTTGAACACAGACATGTTCAATCTCAGCAAAGTCATAGAGACATTTCAGTGAATAAGGAAGTTGGGAAAAAGTGTAATGGTGAGAATTCCCAGGTTTTAAAGGCCATGGACACCTGACTCAGTCTTTAACAAGAGTCCATGGAAACATGTAAACCAGATGAGAGGCAGCTCCAACAACAAGGATCAAAGATTTGCTTAAAGCTATTATGTAGTAGATTGTGAGCACCGTCGTGGTTTCAGCTAAATCCTGATGGCAGATCATGGATCATGTTGGTGGATCGTGAATCATGGTGGATCCTGATCGTTGACACGAAACTGCTCGATATACAATACGTCTACTCACATATTTAAAATACTTCAAACATTGACACACTTTTCCATTATGTTACCAACTTTTCTTGTAATCAATGTTGTTATTTTGTGGATGTTCTCAGCTACACGCAGCATCTACTGCACTTCTGTCTGTGAGAGGGATCCATCACACGTGACTTGTCTTGTCATGTCGTCCATCTTTATATCATCTATAACATCTATAACTCTATAACTATCATCTAATTTTGTCATGCAACTATTTTCTAACGTCAAGATTAAACTAAAATGACGATAAGTTCTGCCACAGCCAACAACACATCCTGACTGCAACGTCCAGTTTTGCACTGAGGCAAAATGATCAATCAAGTTACTGGAAGTAATCTAATTACATTAGTCTGCTTGCTACTCTGAATTATGAAAGTAATCAGACACTGCTCTTATCAAATAAAACATCATCCACAGAATTCCTCCATCTTACTGCAAGTGATACCACAAGCTACTCGGAAACCACATGTATAATCAGAAACAAATTAAACCCAGCAATCACGTTGTACTGAGATAATCAGAAATCTCTTCCTCATTTCCTTCCTTTGCCTCCTTCAGGACGTCGGTTGCCTGAGTGCATATTTCCCATGAGCTCTCTGCCTGTCTCTCACTCCACAGTCTCACTAAGGGGGCAACCGCAAAGTCACAAAAACACACTGGAAGGCGTGCACGTACACAAGGGTGCTGGTGCAACCAAGAGACTCACCAAAACCAGATGTTATCGCTCGCAAACAGATGCAGGGGGAGGGACACGTTTAGTCACTGGGGCCTCCACAAATTGAGGTGACAGAACGTGAGTGTTCAAAAGTGTGAGAAAGCTTAAAGGAATATTGGAGCAGACACGTTGATCATGCGATGGAAAATGGTGTCAAGGGGCAGAGGGTGTGGATATGAACACTCACACACACACACACACACACACACACACCATAATGACACACTGTCTAGATGCACATGGACACAATTTCATCCTCCGCCCCATTTTCCTCCAGTGAAATTAATGATGGGAGGTTTAAATTGTGCACTGTATGGCAGACCTCAGGAACTCCCATTGTGTCTCTGGCTCCATTCTCTTCTGAAGACTTACAGATGGGTTCCTGGGTCAGAGATGGAAACACCTCAACCCTCGCAGCTTCAGAAAGGTCTCCGGGGAAGCTGGAGCGCCCCCTTGAAATTGTGGGGCTGGCTAAATATATACGTGTGTGTGTGGGGCGGTGGCGAAAAACCATTTTCCTTTCTTTCCCAGCAGACACCATCCAACTTCAAAGTCTTTTGATGTCTTGTTTTTCTTGTCCTCCCTCATCACTGCAGGCAGTTAATCTCACTCCCTCTCTCCCCAATAGAAAGTCACAATGATCAATTCCAAAGCATTGATCCATGAAATCAAAGCATGTATTTTATCCCCCACTTTAACAAAACTGTCTTTTTTTGCGTGTGTGTGTTTTTCAGCTGGCCCGCTCGTCGATACGTACTCCCAGGACGGGTCGGAGGAAGAGGAGAAGTCCTCTGGCATTCTCCGAAGGACAAATTGGAAGGAAAAAATTGAACAGAAGGAGAGAGTGACGAGGGAGTAAGGAGAGAGCAATTGAGAGATAAGAGAGAGAGAGAGAAGGAAACAACAGGGAAGTGATTTGAGTCGGTCTGGGATCACCTCCAAAAAAAATAGGAGGAGTAGAAAAAAACAGCTTTAGAATCGAATGAGAAAATTCAGAAAACTGATTAGTCACCGTCTGCATGAGGAAGCGCCACTCTCAAGATTTCCATATTTCCACTTTCTCTAAGATATTATTGACAACATGCATCAGTGTTCGACTTTTAAATGATGCAACAGAGCCGCTGAACTCCAGCTCTCACCGGACGGCAGAAGACAAACATACAAGGGTTGTGTGGTCGTAAATCCAGCAGCTGCTGATGGAGGGCGAAGCAATGCCAGCAACTCGCAGCTGAAGTCACACAGCTCCATTCAGTCGTCACATTGACTAAGGGAACAGCTATTCAGTTAATCTTTCAGTTATGTTATTACAACACCTCATCTGTTTGCAGCCTCCTCAGGGTCTTCATATGACTGTGTGGAGAACATGAGCTCAGGCGCCAAGAGGAAACATTTCAGGAGGTTCTGAAACTCTACCACACCCACAGAACTGGGATTTTTCATGGACATTTTATCTCTATTTAGACTATTTCTCTCTTTCCAAAACGTAAAATCCTTGACTGCACAGCTCAACTCCCTCTCTCGTGAGACTCAAAGTTTCGACTATGGGCACAAAGTGAGATCACATGATATTTGCTATTATATGAGAATTTGGCAGTTTGGGAAATGTGCATGTTCTTTCTCTTGCCAAGAGTAGCATTGATACCACGCTCATATCTGAATGGTGAATATGGGGAGATTTCACCAGCAAATGGCTAACTTAGCTTAGCACAAAGTCTGGAAACAATTAGCTTGATCTGCCAAAAGCATAGAAATTATGTTAAAAAAAAAAGACGACATGACTGCTCCCCAAAGTAAAGCCCCCCCGTTGGCTGGCTGCAGTATAGTTAATCAACACTGCCTCCTCCATGTTAGTGGATGGAACATGGACCAAACTAAAAAGTCAATTGAGTTCTTTACAGAAATGGTATGAGCTGTAAATAGTTACCAGCAAACACAGGAGGAAGCTGATATAGCGAGCCTGCCTCCATTTAAGGTAACAAGTAAACACAAGTGCATGGTGTGAAAATGACACATCAAATTGTATCAGGGCTAATGTGACATATCGTTTGCCTGCCAAATGTTCCTGCTTGAAAAACTGTCTGTAAAACAGCGATTGACAGTTTGACCCTTTGTACAGATAAAACAAACAAGATATAACGTGTTAATTAGCATGAGCCCCCACCTGTTTCCAGTCTTATGCCTAGCTAAGTTAGCAAGCTGCTGGGGGTAGCTTCTGGTATCAAGCATTAATAAACAAGCATATTTCCCGTAATGTCAAACTTTTCCTGAGAAAACTCATAGAAATAAAAAGACAAACTAGTATTACATAAACAATACTCATAAAGTGAGATCACAGACAAATATCTTTCACAATCCTGCTGCAGTACACACAGTTCTGCCTGATTTACAGCTGGGCTGAGGTGCTGTATAATGTTCCATGTACGGTAATGAAATCGAACATCACAGTTAGGAAATAACAGGCCATATTTGGCAACGACCGCAATGGAATACAAAATGCCTTAACGCACTCTGTCTCACTACACCCTGACCATTAATGCATCCACCTTCCCATTTTCTTCAGGTCCCTGTCCCACCATTGTTTTGGACGTTGTTTTAAGAAAGGGAGGCACCAAGTGGTGGGGCCCCAGTCATGACATCACAGCTGAGGGTAGTTGAAGCATCTGGTCTTGGGTGTGGAGGCCTGCTTCTCCCCTCTCCATCAAGACTGGCTCCAGCAGTGAGTCAGGGCCCTTAATGAGGACCAGACTCCACACATCAGGCTGAGGTCACCCTACGGGAATCTCTGGAGGTTGGCATGTGTACATGTGTAGGAGACAGAGAGGAGGGAGGGAGGTGTATTGTGTATGAGGCTGCCTGTGTGTGTGTGTGTGCTGAGGTGGAGGTCTGCAGTTTTGTGGTATCAGTATAAAAGCAACATCACGGTGCATGACAGAGGACCTCACAACAGAACATGTCCATAAAGGGAATAGGCGGGGGGGAGGGGGGGGTGGAACAGTCTGTAGGGTGTTCTGACATTTACATCAGGGAGCAATGAGACATGAAATAGTGCATGTAAATTATCAGCAATGGTTTTGAGGGGCTGGGACTGCACTATAGAGCATGGCATGTAAAAATGTAAGCTTCAGTTTACCTCTCCCATTCCTGACATTAAAACTGAGGAATTCTTAGGACAACATGAATCTAAGTCACAGGAAGTTTCCAATGTGGGCCTCTGCCTCTCGGTGCCGGGATATATTGAATGACAGACTCAAGGCAAGCAAAAGGAGGGCCAGTGAACTCGTGTCCTCCCACTCCGGGAAATACCCTGTGGCCATTCATGGGATCTGATCCTTCCGTTCCAAACCTCCATGTAAACCAAGCAAGCAGAATCCATTATATGGGGGATTATCTTCAGGAGCAGTTTGTGTTTACACAGATGTTATCACACCGATGAATGAGTTATGATGGAGAAGCTGAAAAAAGATTGTTAGTATGTTCAACTTCTTGCCTTTCAGTGTTTGACTTTGCTGATGTGGAAAACAATTTAAGATGATATAACCAATGGACTCTTCGACATAAGATATGTAACTTCAGCCACCAGGGGTTTCTCAAACAAAACAATAACAAAAGACCTAGTTTGATGACGTCCAGAAGCACAGTGGGATCATGGGAGTTTTTGTCATCACCACCATCGCCGATGAAAATCTACCTGACGTGGCTCAGGCACAACATATATGAGGCAATGTATTAAAGTTTTATTCACATTACGTAGCTAACTGCAATAAATAATCTCGATCCATTACAGGTTACTAATACAAACACTGGAAGGAAAAACTGCTGACTGGCTAACTGGCTAACAGGGTATTTTTTCCTTTATCACTTGTCCCAGAAGTTATAGCAGGGACGGACAAAGATGACACAACGTACAATACTACAGCCAGACTCAAAATGTTCAAAATTAAATTCTACAGTGAGGAAAGTTCTTAATATGTGTTCCAATGTCAATCGGGCTCCTGCCCCCACAACTCTCAAAGAATAAGTGGTATAGACAATTGATAAATGGATGTCAAGCTATCAAATTTGGTTAAATATGACCACACACTGACTTGTTTATCTCACTGAAAGTCTAAGAGGACCTGTGAAGACTTTGTTTTCAAGACACAAAAACAGACAGACAACGACATCATCAAAGTATCATCAAACCACAAACTCACCTGGTTCTTTGGCAGCGATGTCTTTCAAAACATGCTTGGCCATGGCAGGCAGCTGTTCCTGGAACTTCTGCAGGGCATTCTGCAGGGCGAGGATGTCTGCACCATGATTTCCACAGGTGACGTTCATCCTGTTTACACAGTCCTGCAGACCACCAACATGCTTCTCCAGCCCTTCTTTCAGCTCTTTGATGTTAGCAGAAACCCCGTCTAACCTTCCACACACCTTTTCAAGTCTGGTCACTCGTCCGTCCACAACAGACATGCCATCAGAGAAGCCCTGTGTGTTATGTTTACATTGACTCAGCTCAGATGACACCTGCTCACTTAGCAAATCGAGCCTGTTATTTAACTCCTCCACCTTACGTCTGGTGTCGTCTGCGTTACCACTGGGTACTGAAAGGACTGACGCCAAGTTGTCCCAAGCTGGACTCCCAGTGCGACTCTGCTCCGCATGGCAGCATGTTGAGTTTATTTTGTACATATCTTGGTGGTATTTGCTCAAGGAGTCACTTAATCCTGTAACTGCACCAGCCAGGCCAAGCACATTATCTTGTATATCAACTAGTCTTTTTTGGAAATCATCCATTGTCTTGGCATGTTTTTCATTTACGACCGACTGCTTTTCAACAATGTCCTCCAATTTCTTTACCTTGTCTCTGTTGGCACTGACATTTGTGTGAAGAATGTCCAAGTCATTCCTGTACCGGATCAGGTCCTTTAAAATATTTTCTAGGCCTTTAGGTGCAGGTGAGGAACTTCCTGCACCTCCAGCAATTCCTGAGCTAGAGCATCCTGCAGAACACAACTCTCCAACAGCATTGATCTTATCATCCAAATTTTGGAGGAGGAACTTGTTGTTGTTGACTTCTGATTGAATGGAATCCATGGAGTCACCAAACATCCCTGGGAATGAACTGTTGCTCATTTCCACCAGCATGTTTGTAAACTGGTCCTCCATGCTGTTCAGACGTTCATCCAGAAGCTGTCGAAGTGCAGCCACTTCCTCTCCGATTGTACGGGTCAGCTTCTCTTCAATGTAGAAGCAGTGAGTCTCTGCATTTTGTTCTGTGATATTTATACGTGCCTCCAGCTCCTCAAACTGTAAACTGAAATCGTTGTCCTGTTCCTGAGGTGCAGACAGGTGCTCCAGCTCATTGTCAATACGGATATTCAGGATGCGGTGAGCCTCTGCAATACGATCGATCTCACGCCACAGGTCTTTGTGGTCACCATGATGCTCTTCTTTTTTGGATGGATCTGTCTGCCTCTGAGTGCGTATAGGTCCATCGGCAGCAACCATGTCCAAACGTAATTCTCGGATCTCCTTTCTCAGGTCAGCCTCCTTAGTGTCCACCAGCTTGGCCAGGCTGACCAGCCCTTGGTCATGGCTGTCTTCACAGGTCTTCTGCAGAGTCTGGATCTTGTCATTGCATGAGCTTTGTAGCTTGGTCATCTGTTCCTCTACACTCTGGTCCAGCTCCTTCTTCAGCTTCTCAAGTTTCCCATCGATGTAGGTCTGTATAACATCAAACTCTGTTATGGCTGGAGTCTGAGATTGTGAGGCATCCATAAGAACACGGATCTGTCCCTCGTGACTTGTCATGGTCCCTCTCAGGTCTTCCAAGGCGTCATCCTTACTTTTCAGTGAATTGTTAATATCATCCAACCGGGCCACTATTTTCTCTATGGCCTTGTCTCCTCCAATCCCTCCTCTGACAGCCTGATGACCATCAAGCACTGCTGGGCTCTCCTCTGTGCCTGCGGTCATAGCGCTGTCTGGTGGCCGCATGTTGTTAAGAAGTGTCACCAGCATCTTCTTTGTGTCTTCCTGCAGGTCTGTGCGGAGGTTGTTGGTCAACCCTGTCAAAGCAGACTGGAGACCCTGGACTGTCTGAGAGAGGCGCTGAACTTCACCTTCCAGAAGACGGACCTTATCTGTCCCACCGTGCCTCGTCTCATGGTGGCCTGTCTCCCTCCTCTCTGGCCCTGTAGTCACAAATAGGTTATTAATGTTTCATAAATCAACACAAACAGTTTCATGTTTTCTATGAGCAGGTTTAATTAAGTGGTTTAGCAGTGTTGAGTGGAAATTGACAAGAACACATATGATAGAACTGTCTTACTTTGTGTGTGTCTGGTTGTGAGTCCAGGATTCAGTGGGAGGTAAGGCTGCGTTCCCTGTGCTCTCTGTTGATCTGGAGGCGGTTTTAAATCTTTACAGTCCAGACCTTGGTAACCAGGACAGCATCTCCACTCTAACTCTGTGAATGTCTTGTAGCCAATCTTGTACGTGGGTAGAAACCGAGTTTTGTATCTGTAAAACAAAGCAGTGTAATCAATAACCTTTGTTTTGTATGAACATGAAATGAGGATCACTGAGCTTTTTATCCGCAATAAAACTCAGACCAGTGTTATCCATGTAATTGCTCTCTTTTTGAGAAACTGTTCCAAAACGAAATATTAATTCTTCTTATTGTTGACTCCTGCAATCACCAAAACCTCTGCTTTCTGGGCTTTGACCATTTTTGAGCTTATCTATTGTTCACAGTACATTTGCTTTTACACTTTCAAGCCAAAGGAAACAGTTTGGAAAGAAACAATAGATGACATAATTTCCCCGAAGGCAAGGGTCATACAGAACATCTGGAGAGTTGATGTCTGAAACAGTGATTTTTGCACGTTTTCCATACTGTCGCACTCACTGATAGCTCTGTTGACAAAAAATCAAAAAGGAAACTTAAAACCTGTGGGACAATAAAACTCTGGCTGTAATCAACAACCTGTTCTTAAATCCCAAAAAGAGATAATATGAAGCCAATACTTGATGTCATAACTTAGAAATGGGAAAACCTGAGATGTCTGTTCTCACTGGCAGCTTTTTCTGACTTTACACAGACTTGGAAATGTGCTCCAGTGATCTAAGAATGATCAGTTTCCATGGATCTTTTCCACATCACCATGACTCTTGTGCATATGTTTGTGTGAGTGAATAACAGAGTAAAACCACAACACGTTGTTTTTCACAATTAATGACTCACAAAGTAAAATGTATTGCCTTGCAACACATTGAGTTGCGTCTTCTTGCTCAGAATTAACTGTTACACAAGAATTAAACTCCCATTTACAGTAAGCACTTATTAAGGAATATAATGATTTGTGATCTTAAAGGTTTGGGGTCTAGATGAGGCCTTAAATCAAACTGTGTTACTAAAACATGATTTATGATAATATTTGGATTACACACTTGTAATTTTGAGAAAAAATCGACTGCATTGATTCCAACTGTTTATAAGCACTTACATTACTTGAGCTCAGAGGTTTAGATTTCAGCTCCTGAATACAACTAACATGAGATTTATTTTATTTTACTCATTGATATGCAAAGTCTATCATGTTTCCATAATGAAGACGAAAGCTACAACAGGGCATTGATTTGTTATATTGTGTAATATCATGTCTATAGCAGCTATAACAAACAGCCTTAAGGGATCTAAACTCGCTGCATCGGTAGGTGCTTGGATCTTAATATGGTCTTGATTAACTTTAACCATAACTTATTCTGGCAACATCAGCATTTCCATGGAACTTTGTGTAGGGGTGGGGGAAGACCCATGGAGGAACCCAGTACGTTTTAGAGCAGATCCGGATAAATGGGTGGATCCAGCCTTTTTTTTTCTGAAAACATTGCGAGATAGTTGTATGTCAGGAGAATATCTGAGGGCAGCTTATGTCTCATCTTGCCCCGAAACAAACCTCATCTCTAGTACCGACTCCAGAGCCTTGGAATCTATAGACCTCTTCATATTTGGGCAGCATTTCCTGTTCCTGTTTATCCGCCTAGTTTTTGTGATCTTCTAACTTACTCAAATCTGTGCAATTTTAGTTCTGCCAAATTTAGTTTCTCATGCAGCCACTGTGAAAATGTCTCCCTCTTGGTTTCCTTCAGAGAAACATTTTGTATCAGAACTCCGGTCTGTCTGTCTCATACATCTAAACATGCACCCTCGACCCCTTCCCGGATGCTCACGTCACTTGTTGCTGGCAGTCGGGCTGGTATGCTGGGCAGGGGGCCACCACGGGCTCCTGGAAGCTCTCCACACTCCCCTGCACGGCGCAGCTCACGTTCTTGTGCACCACATAGGCGCACCAGTTCCTGAGGAGAGAGGCAGGGAAACTGTGAGAAAGATTGTAGAGGAGCTCTGTGCAAACCACAGAGAATAGCTGGACTTTTTAGTGATTTGACAATAAACTATCATAATGAGGTCCATATGCTTTGTTGAACTTTTCCTGCAGGGCGCGTCTCTATTCGATGATGGGTTCGCCCTGATTTTTCACCAGTCTGTTTAAATCTATCAGGGAACTGTTGCAAATGCAGAAACGGTGTCTGGTAAATGAGAGATTAGAGACATTCCAGCGTTTATCTGGATCTTATCACCTTTGGCAAACTGGTGCCAAATTTAGTCGCAGGTTGATAAAGGCACAGTGAATGGAAGCCAGGCCACATTTATGACCATAGGAGGCTACATTTCAAGCGATGCGAGGCCACTGCGACAAAAGAGAAGTGTGGAAGATATCGCATTTCCTTTATTTGAGGACTGCGCGACAAAGGCGCAACAAAAGCGCATCAAAAGCGCACAGCTCGCATCATAAGGATAACACTTGACGGTGTAAACTGGATGTTAAGGCTGACACACAAAGTTTAAACGTTTCCCAACAAAAGCAGCCTGTAAAATAAAACACCGGGCTTACCTGCTCCTGTGTCTGTGCACCACTCCAGTGTATGCAGACCCGTGGAACAAGTCATAAGAGGAGGGAGACCCGTGCGTGAAGTGAAAGTTTAAAAACAGTGTGAAAACTATCCACCGCCAATCCATATCTGCGTGTCTGTGGTTCGTACTGAAAAAAAACTGAGAATAAATAGTCCTAACATAGAAAAAGAAAGAAAGAAGAGGGCTACTCTGTTATTTTTATGCGCTACGTTCCCCCAAAAGTCACACTGTCCCAGTGTCTGAACCAACTCCAGCAACTCCTCAAGTTTGTGGAAGTCCACAGTCACTGCAGTTCCAGTGGAATGACGCTCAGGGCCTACACCCTCCTCCCAAACTCTCAGCTGAGGAGAGAACTCCCCCACAAAACCTCTAAAGGTTTATAGTCTGATAGATGTTTTAGTCTGTGCTAAGGTTTTTCTTTAATTAAGTTCCTCTTTACCAGGAGCCAGTAATTAATCTGAGAGACTAAGAGGAGGCTGCCACCAGAGAGGATTTGGGGCAGAAGTTGATGAAGTCTTTGTGAGCCAACAGCCATTAATTAACACCTCACTGATGAACATAACAGGATCATGTGTTTTGAATGCAGCCTAAAAGGTGTGTGCAGCAGTAGTGTTGATGATATTCATCATGACCAGGGAGGAGGGCAGTCGTCTTTCAGTCTATCTGTCTGTCTGTCTGTCTATCCTGTTGGGGAAGGGGGATGTGGTGGGAAAATATAAAGTGCTGATCAACATCTTAATGTGCACAGAGACAGAAAGCAGCACATTAGTTACACGAGAGCTTCAATTCACAGCAGTCGAGGCAGGAATTCTTTGTCACTGCTTTCCTGCCAAAGTGGGAGCACAAGGAGGGTTTCTGCCACTTCACAAATCATTTGTTTTAGGGGAGCCAGCCTCAAGCAGTTTCCCCCAGAAGCCAGGGGAGATGGGGAGTTGAAAAAGAGAGACTGGGGACGAAGATGGATGCTGTGAAAGGAAGAAAAGATGAATGAACATACATATGGACAAGAAACTGCATGCTCCCCCCTCACCCAGACCAGAGATACAGCGCTTTCATGGGTCCGCACAGTGAAGGCTGCTGGGATAGGTTATGTGTGTGAAGGATGTCTGCAGGGACTTGATTTTTTTTTGTCTTTTATTCATACAAACAAGTGCCAGGTTTAACTTGACATGTGATTAAAAGCAGCAGTTACACAATCCAATCACAAGATTATTGACAACTGCATTGGTTTTCATTCACATGTTCAACAAACCTTGACAGTCCAGTGTGTTCAGAGAAGAGGGAAATAAAAATCTTTCTAATAGACTTCCTGTGAATGATGAATATTTGTGACTGTTTCTGTCGTCTCCAGAAGAGGGCAGCACAGCAGCAGTAAAGAAAGCAACAACAAAAAAAAACCTTGTAGTCATGGCAATTCCTTTCTAAAAGTATTGGACATTTCATTACTGGATTTTTCTACTTCTCATCATGCTTCTCTTATGTCCATTATCTGTGCTCTGAATTCACCGGCCATTATTTATTACTGTGCGTGTTATTGGAATTACATTATCCAATCATCATTATCCGTTCCCTCTTCTGTCCAATCTTATTGTCACTGTTACGATGTGCATTAACGTTTACAGTGGTTTGTCACCACTTCAGAGAGAATCACATGCTGCACTCTCACCGCTCTATATCTACAGGTGGATTGCGGGGCCCTGATGACACCACACATCTCACGTCCAAAAATCACAATTAACTTTACACTTGACATGTTCACCCAAATATACGGCTGAAGGAAAGCACACCGTGGTTTCAGCCATCAATCTGAGGGATGTTTCCTCGTTTCACCTGCATTGGATCAATTTCTTATGTTTTCGACTTTGCAGGGGTTGGAGGGCTGATTGGAATTGGAATAGCCTGCACTGAACCTGGGGAGGATCATTTGCTGCATACAATGCCTCTGTCTTTGAGACATGCATTTTGCAAGGCCAACCCTCACCACAGCTGCTTTTGAATCCTTTAAATTCAGCATGCTCCCGCTGAAGCGCTGACCTTGATCTCTATGTTATAATAAATGTGCTGCTATACTGAGGCAACACAAAAGCAGGGTTTTTCTTTTGAAGGGACCAGTTTTGTGCTGTATTCCAGAGTCATTACACCATATACAGAACAAATATAGCCTGAGAAACACTGGCTCACATCATGTGGATCACATTACATTCAGGTTAAGCTCAGTGTCCATGTGGCAGCTCTGTGGATTTTGCAGGGATTGGATCTTCCTAACAATAAACAGACCCTTGTACACTCATTTAAAAAAAGCTAGCCTTGGCTTTTTCTGTCACCCGGGGAGAGTAAACAGTGCTGCAGCGATCACTTTCAATGGGCTGTCATGCTATGCAACATGTGCGTTCCACCATGATACTTGTGCACTCACACTGGGCGACTCAGCGTGGGAGCCAGGGCCTGCACACACAGCCTACACAGGTGCTTTTTGAAAGTGGGGTCAAGGGTCTGCTGTGGTGGGATTGTTACTTCAATTTCACTTTTCTCTCCTTTCGCTCCACACAGTGAAAAAATGAGAATATGACACATTGTGTTTGAATCACACGTCAGTTTATCAAGCCACTGCAACACATGTTTTGAGCTGCAGTAAATTCAAAATGTTTGGGTGCTATGGTTTCAATAGTCTCAGACTTCACACCCCTGTTGGGCGGATGCTTTATTCTTTTTTTTTTCATGGATACATACCATGGTATACAAACACACATTTTATAGCACACTGAGGCAGTTGAGGACTCCCCGTCTCATCACATGCTGTTACACCTACTCTCAGTGGCTTCTGAATATGCGTTTGGTGTGAGGGAAGCAGAAATGATGATACCTCAGAGAAACAACTCCACCAGATTGTCTTCCTCCGTTATTTCAGATTTATCCCTCGACTCAATATCTCTTCACTCCTTTCTCTTTCTCTTTTGCTCCTTTATTTGAGACTTGACAGGGACCAACTTGTACCTTGTGGCTTTGTTAAAGTCGACTAATCGAAAATAGCACCTTTCAATTAAGGGTGATTTGTGCGTTTGTGTGTGTGTTCTCAGGAAAAAAAGAGTCAGATTATTAATTGGCATAACACTGTGAACGACCTCCTCTGGATCAGGTTTGATTTGTCTTGATTTGCTGAGGAAGAGGCATGAGTCTGATTCACTAAATTTCCATGATCAGATCATAAGATTAATAGAAAGTTCAAACAAATGTCAGAGTCAGACACAGACAGGGAGACGGAGCAATATAACTACAGTCTGGTGAACGCACACGAACTTGGAGACAAAAGGAGAGTGATATAGGTTCTTGATATTGTGGATGTACAATATGCACCCCCCGAGCCTCTCACACATCCACACACACACTAGATTAGGAGAGCTGATTTATTGGCTGTAAAATGTTAATATAGCTATAAGCCATGCTCATGAATTGTTAATTAAGGCCGTGACAAACTCGTCACCTAAAATGTTAATGAGGTGAGATTGCGTCAGGGCCGAGAGGTCTCTGTGAGCTGCCGAACAAATACAACTGATGAGCTAGACCCCCACAAGCTATAATAGGAAACGCTGAGGGCACCTGAGATGGGTCGAGCCCATTCGGCCATGGAGTAATTTAATTAATGAATGGGGGCGTGTGAATTAAACATTGTGATAGTGAAAGGGAATGATAAATATAATCTATTTTTACCTTCAGACAGCCTATATCTGTTCAAAGTGATACATCAGTGAAGGGTACTGAGCTATTCTTATCTTTATACACAAGATACAACTTTATTGAAGATGTTCAGGATATATACAGTACACACACACATACACACACACACACTGAGTTAAAGGTAGTTTATATGATAATGGTGCCTAATAATAGTTCTCATTAGTGTCTCGTGTCCAGCAGTGAGAGAGGAGTTGTACAAACTGGTGGCTGCTGGGAAAGAGAACCTCCCGTGGCGTTCGGTGGTGCAGTCGAACTGAAAGGTATGAGGAGGGTGAGGCATATTGTCAGTCACGCTCTGAAGCTTGAGCAGCACCCCCTCTCTCCAGTGCCTCCACCAAAGAATCAGATTCCAGTCTGATGATAATGGTGATCACACAGAAAACCTTCAGGTGTATTTACAAGTATTAACAATGGCTGCCTCTTGTAGGTGTGGAACCATGCCTGGGCAGGAGCCTGTTAAATGCCTCCACCGGGCAGGTTACATTTTCACGTTTGTGTTTGTCTGTCTGTTATTTATTACGTTTAGAACACATTGTACGATACATTCACATTCACGTGATGTGCAGTTTATGTTTAAAAGTGCATTATGTTGTTTTTAATGCTCATCACATGTTTGTTTGCAAAATATATTTGGATATTTAATATATTTAGTTACTAGAACTTAGCTCTCAAATAAAGCTTGTGGCCTAAAAATGCGGCCTAAAAAAGTGGATTGAACTCATAAGAAATATTGAATATTTTATTCATGTGTTTTTGAGACTCACCTGCTGTTTACTTTCATCTGGAACATTAATATATTCTATATCCAGCATTCTTCTGTTTGCATAATACATTCTGTGTGTATTCTCAGCTTTGGTGTAAATCTAAAACTCAAACTTTTAATCAGATGTAGTGTGTAGCATTGTGTACCTGTGATATGTCGACGGGAACTTTCATGTTGCCATGGAGTTAATTGGATTTTTGGCTCTAACAATCATCAGAAAACATGACGAATCAGCCATGAGCACTTCCTGTTTACGATGCACCTGTTGATGTCACGACCGGTGTCACTGGAGAACTACAAAACTCAAGAAAACTCTAAAACGCGGTAATTCTTAGGTGAGTTCCGGAAGTGTCAAGGAGCAGCACTTCTAAGGTTTAATGGACGTTGTTCGCGACGGAGAATGACGGAAGAAGCGGCTAAACAACAAAGTGTGGGTCAAACTGATTTCAAAACACACGTGTTGTGTCTGAATGTTCGGATTTGAATGAGTTATTCCTCTGAGAAGAGTTCGTCGGTCCACGACAGCGTTTCTGTTAGCTAGCTAGCTAGCTAACTGCTGGAAAACTGCTATGAGTGATGCTAACACAACGTGTCGGGGGAAAGTTGGTCTGACTACACACGTGTGGCTCCGGTGAGACTCTCCGGAGGATTAATCATGTGGAATAATGTCACACTTCCTGTCTGCTGGGAGCTCAGCGTCACTTCCATCACTCACCTGAGGTAAGAGCTGTCGTTTGGGCTAAAATGCTAACACGCAAGTTGTGTATCTCTGATGTG